ATTCGAACCCGCAAATCGCGAGTGCAGCGCCCTAACCACCAGGCCATGCCGGGCCCTGAAATACTGAGGGTTGAGAAAAGGAAACTAAATACGAGTGTAATAAAAGGAAGCTGAAATACTGAGGGTTGAGAAAAGGAAACTAAATACGAGTGTAATAAAAGGAAACTAGAATGCTGGGGGTTGAGAAAACTAATATTGAAGGTTAATAAAAGGAAACTGAAATAGTTAGAGTTAAGAAAAAGAAATTGAAATATTGAAGGTTAAGATAAAGGGAAACAGAAATAATGGTGTTATGGCAAAAATGCAGGAAATGTTTCTTTCCATACACAATAATGTATGAATTATCTTACTTTTGTAACGAATATGTTATAGTTATTCACGTCCAAAGTTGATAATAGTAACCTCTCTCGTTCTGTCCATTCGACTTGGAAAGTAGATTTTGATTAATGATCTGTTTTCTGTTCTACCAGAGTATCCAAGCCATGGCGACTTGTACCTCCGTCCCTCATCTTTACTACCCTGATGACAGTTGTTGTGATGGTTGCAGCCGTATTGCTGAAGCAAGGGATGTCACACTTTTGTGATCAAATGGGCAAGTCGGAGGTTGGAAGGTAAGCTCAATTAATGTAAATATAGCAATCATTCTTGCTGGATGTAGGGACAACACACACACCTCTTTAAACAGACGCAAACGTCTGAGGAGGCTGGAAAGTATTGAATCCAAAGATTAAATTAGCCTCTTTTGAATGAAGGTTACAAAAGAGTGTTACAACACTTGTTACGAGGATAATTGATAGGATGTTCTAAGTATTGATTGCTTGTTAGGTTTATCAATGGCGACTTAGTTCTCAATTTTAGGACTTGATGAATGAATGTGGTCATGAACGTTTGGTGCATAAAGGAAGATATTAGATAGCCACCCCAAGCAAAAGCTTATCTCAAGAGACACCAAATGCAACACAGTTTTATAAAGTCAAACATACCAGATTAAAAACTAGCGAGCGACAAGAGAAACGATGGAGCACTGTTGTATACTCTTAAATAAAAAGTTATATGACAAAAATATATTCACTATAATTAGGCTTAAAAGTCACTCAGAAAGTGATCACTGGGGGTTCAATTTAATGTTTAGTATTTTCAACCTGCATGGAGTTTTATGTGCACTTGGGTTAAATGGTCATGTAACAGATATTTAGGCTTCAGGTATAGTCGTCCCTAATTTTATACTACTGAACAAAGGGAAGGAAGCTAGTCAGCATCACCTGCCGCCATAATGACTTTGCCCGGCTTTGAAGCGGAAAATGGAATTGACTGTTGCTCATATAACGCTTCCACATCTGAAAGCCACGAGCTTGATCAGGGGAATAGCTACGCAAATCCTGAACCTTGTGATACGCAGCCCATGCCCGGCTCTGAGGTTTAATCAGTATTAAATAAAATAACATGAAGTAACTCGAACCATTTCAACATTTGTTGTGTTTGGTACTAATTAAAGGAATATCAAAAGCTTTATTTGGAAAGTAAATATCAGGTGAACAAAATGCCAATATTATAGTGAAGAAATCACGATAGGACCAATAAGAAAGCACTCGCAAAAAATCTTTATTTTTGCTGAGCAGGTTTTCTGGAACTTTCAGTCAGTGACTACAGAGGTGACTGTGTTAGTTGATCAGTTTCAGTTAGGGACTACAGAGGCGGTTGTACCAGTTGATCAGTTGTCAGTCGGCGACTACACAGCTGGCTGTACAAGTTGATCAGTTGTCAGTCGGCGACTACAGAGGTGACTGTGTTAGTTGATCAGTTTCATTTAGGGACTACAGAGGCGGTTGTACCAGTTGATTAGTTGTCAGTCGGCGACTACACAGGTGGCTGTGTTAGTTGATCAGTTTTAGTTAGGGACTACAGAGGCGGTTGTACCAGTTGATCACTTTCAGTTAGGGACAACAGAGGCGGTTGTACCAGTTGACCAGTTTCAATCAGTGTTGGATATATAAGACTGACCAGCTTAAGAATTATTATTTAGTTTGTTTAGTGATTTACTATTTAATGGTTATATGGTTTCCACAACAAGAGTGTTATAAGTTAATTATTTTAAAAGGGATAATTATGACAAGTTTCTTTACGTAACTCTATACTAGTCATACGTTGTGTATGTAGTTTAATTGTTGTACTAGGCTTTTATAATATTGTTTACGTCATCTTACTCGAAGCTTCTAAGTTTTTCTAGTTATGTTTAGTAGTGTTGTTATTAGAGGGATAGATATTTCTAGATTTTTTGTCGTGTGTTATAAATACGTGTAGATACAGAGTGCAAATTAAAATAAAGTTAGTGATAAAAGTGAAGTTAGACTGCGTGATTGTCAGTTTAGCTGTAAAGGGCGATTTATAAAGTGAGAATTTTATAGTTTGTATTGTACCAACAGAGATAAAGAATAATAATTTATCTTGTCCAAGGGTGTTCTAAAGTAATTGAACCCGACTGTGTGGACTTTGACGAAAAGGAGACTATTATTTAAAGCTATGGATACAGCTGTGGTAACCAACAGTTATAGTGGAGATTTTGAAGTGAGTTTCACAGCTTGTATTGTAACAACAGAGATAGAGAATAATAATGGACTTTTGACGTAAAAGAGAATTATTTAAAGCTCTGGATACGACTGTGGTAACCCACGGGGTGACGTAAGTGAATTTATCACTGATTGTATTGTGATAACAGAGTATAGAAGAAATAATTCGTGTTGTAAATTGGGTTCTAAAGTAAATGAACCAGCCTGTTTGGACTTATGACGAAAAAGATAATTATTTAATATTCTAGATTCAACTGTGGTAAACAATAATGTAACAAATATTTGCACATACTTGTGACTTGTTTTGAACATATATACATTATCTTAAAACAAGTGGATTGTGTGCTGTCCGTTTATTGTTGAAATTTATCGCCAACAAGTCACAAACACCCACTGTAAAACAATTGCTGCTCCTATATAAAATCTGACAGTCAGTGACTACAGAAGTGACTGTACAAGTGACCTTCGTGCTATACTCATCTAAAACTTCACTTTAAAGTTGTAACACGAAAAATCTATGAAGTAAAATGTGGCCTACACTTTTGTACACGCTATTGTTCGCTAAACTTTACAAAATTTTCTTTGGTCAGTCTAAACAAACAAATTGTTATTTAAAAATTATAACAGTGACTTTAAAATGCCACTTATTGGATGACTATGGTACAGTAGATATGCTTAAGCACAGTCTAAAATCCGTGGTGATTTGAAATGTATGTACCATAAGGTTCTTGTTTAATACGGTAGTGTAATTCTAGCGGTAACTATTAGAGAGTACGCTCTTCCAACATTTTTCACATTTAGAGTGGTAATTTAGGCTTATCTTGATGCAGTAAGAGCAATATCTGCTAGACATCAGAAAAATAAAATAAGCGAAGGTGATATAAAGTGGCTAGCTCACTATTTTAAACCGTAGTTTCTTTATCTTATTACTTCCATTGTTTATATCCAGCTACTACATTCATTTTGTAATATTTATCTGTTTACAATGGGTCATTGTTTTCGACCAAAAACTCAAATAAAGTTGGGGAACTCGTAAACCTATCGAAATAATAAGAGCTGCGGGGGGGGGGGGTGTGTGCAAAGAGAGTGCTGACACCTTTTAGTCAGGTTGTTTTTTTTATTATTATTATCAAGACTCGCATACAACTCGTGAAATTGTTTTGTACAAAACTGAAACGAGAAGAATATACTTCTTGTAATGCCGCAAATATTTACAGGATATTTTTTATGCTATACGAATTCACCCATTATTAGTATTTTTGCTCGATTTCACTAAAATTTACAACTAATCTGTT